TGTCGCCCGGAGGCAGTAGTCGTGTTAACCGAATATTTTCCGTCTATTTTTTTTAACAATGACGGAAAAATCTGAAAGCAGTCTGTCATTTTGCCAGATTAGAACAAACTCGGAACAGCGCAAAAGTTTCCCCGCAGCGAGGCTCCGGTGTTATGCATGCCCTCAGTGGCGTAACAAGGTTATGATTGGCCCCGGTGCAAATATTGTTTTGGGCGCCCCCTGAAAACTTTAAACACCCATATGAAAAAGATCGGTTTACATTTTAATAATCAAATAAGTTTGTGAACATAACCAATAACCTACCATAGCCAATACAAAATAAATGTAACATATTTTATATTTGTTGTTCATTTATATCTTATTTTACCTAGTTAAAGGTGGGGTAGGTAAGTTTGAGAAACCGGCTCGAGATCGCTAGAATTAGAAAATACACAACCGGAGAAAATCTGCCACTTCCTTATAGAGCCCCTCCTCCAACACACACGAACGCGCACATGACCAATGAGGGCACGAGATAAGTTTGTGCCCCGATGGAAGGCTGACAGGCAGGTAGGCCATCCAGTTATTTTAGCCGGGCCGGCTAAAATGATTGGTTGTACTTTTTACAGTACTACGGCTTCCACAGATGACATTTTTTTATGGATTTTTTGTCAAAGCACTTAAGATATTCATTGCTATCGGGATGTTAAGAGCATTCCATGGAATATAACAAAAAGTGTATCTCGAGCCGTTTCTCAAACTTACCTACCCCACCTTTAACATTTATTTATTCATGCATTTTTTTTAATATCTCCAGTTTTAAACAATATTTTTGGTTTACTGTCCTATAGTATACATTGGAATGATTTCAAACCTGTTGTTATTTATCCTAATAATTATAAAGGAGTACCTTGGAAATATTTGTTTACATAAATTGTGATCAAACCGTTTGAGACCCACTGAGATAACTTAGACTAAAGTGAACTGAGAGAGTCCTTTACCTCACTGAGCTGTAGTTATCAGCCTCAATCCAACAACAATCCGCGGTACCGATGCGATCTCTCTCTCTTGCTCGCTCGGAGGCTCGCTCGCACTTTGGCTGTGAGCTGCGGGCGCCTGATAAGTCAACATCCCCCACTTTCATCACTTACAGCGCCCATCGTACAGGGCAAAAGTGGAACGGGGGTGAAAAGGGTGTTACCTTGACTTAATTATGAATGTTGTTAAATCAAGGCTGAAAATTAGGATGAGCCAAACAGTCAAAAACGTTTTTTCCCCTCCCAGAACTACCAGCGCAGCCCCCCCCCCCCCCCAGATCTGGCGCCTATAGGCAACCGCCTATGTCGCCAGTGCTACGGGCCGGCCCTGTGAGCACCAACGGTCAAAAATGCTTTTCCCCCTCCCAGAGCTGCCAGCGCAGAGCCCCCCCCAGGTCTGGCACCCTATGCCCAAAACCGGCCCTGCATGAAAGGGAGCAAGGTCATTGGACAGACAAATTACAAATTAATTTAGGTTGCTTGGTTACTTTGAAGACTGCGTGAACTGGTCAATGCCATTGGGGCCCCAAAAAAAAAAAAGAAAAAAAAAAATTATTCTTTTTTTGCATGGGCCTGATAGTTCCGCCACTGCATGCCCTCCACAAAGGAAATTATATCGTTTCCAAACCGTACTTTGCCGTACAAATCAGGGAGGTTTTGCTTTACGCTGCGCGCACTCCAGCGAGGTGTATGCATATCTCGACGAGCGTGCGTAATAGCTGAAGCTTGGTTGCTAGGTTAGCTGGGTGTTCTTCGATAAGGGGCCTGGGGGGATACAAAGTTAGTGATTACTGGTTCCATGTTGATTTATTTCAATACAAATTGTTGGGGGGGAACTGAAAGGCTCTTACCGTACTGGTTACTTTGCAGCCCGGACATTTCCCCCAAAACACAGTTAGACGCGATCGCAACACAGAAGTACCTTTCAAATCCGATAATTTTTAAGACCTTTTAAATCATATTTAAGACCTTTTAAATCATATTTAAGACCTTTCTAATTTTATGATCATATTTAAGACTTTTTAAGGCCTTAAATTCTGATTATCAAATGTAACACTTTTTAAGACCCCGCGGGAACCATGAATTAATGTCCGTATGGCACTGCTGCTAACATCTGCCTTTTTATCTGTGGCCAGGTTGAAGTGCTCAGGGTGACGCAGAGATGTTTTTATTGAGCCAGTCTGCCATTTTGGGAATGCTGGAGACGGGGAGGGCCAACAACTGTTGCTACGGCACCCAGAGGGGACACCTGACACAGCGGATTAGCTGGCTGGGTGCTCCTCTGACACTTTTGGTCTGCTCTCTATCCATCAAATGCATACATGCCCACACATGGACACACATGAAACAAGACTGACACAAACACACAATGTGAGACGCACAGGGAAAATAAATCACACTCCCCGAGGACTACAAACATCACTTTGTGTGACATCAGGAGACGTGTTGCTTTGCCGCAGAATTTGCCCGACCCAAGACGACCATGTTTGCTGTCAACATCCTGTCTCCCCAAGACATCACATCGCCATGGCCGTCTGTTTATAAGCCAGCAGCTGGTGAGCCAAGGCCAATACGCAATGTAAGCACTTCCCAATCTACACCCTAATGACACAGTGTGTAAATATGTGTGAGAAAAACCATAAAGAAAGATACTGTCCCTATCGTTCTTAGGCTATGTGACAGATTTACTTCCTTTTTTATCCCTTTAGGAATTTTTACATTTCTAAGGCTATTGTGTACGTGAGGATGAATCTCAGTGTCACTCTGTATAGACAGCATATTAGACAGGGTTCAAAGCCGCAACAGCATCCCTAAGAGACTGCCTCATGTGGGTCACAACAGTCCCTTTAGGGAGGGAGATTTCACAGGAAACTGCTTTTTCAAATTTGGCACCTGTAACACTTAACACAATTTCCCATTGGAGGGATCTTTCTTATTTTCTTCTTATTCCGGCTACATAGACATTTTAGAATGCAGTGTTCCACTGGGATAGGGTAGTGGAGACATTTTACAATACAAAAGTTCTGAATGTGTCGTGAGTATTGAGTATTTTGTACCATTTAGAGAATCAGAAAATATGCTCAATCTGGGTCACAGGAACTTCAACAAGGGACCTCTCCTTTTTCTTTCTCCTCTCTACAAACTATTACCTCACCCTCTTTACACACCTCCTGTCTCAGTTAGGAAGTTGCCACCCTCTTCAAACAATCTCTCACTTTTTCCCCTACGTATTCCTCCGCCCTTTTGTGCCTGAGCCTCATGCGAGGTTTTGCTTTCCTAATGCGTAACATCTCTGTTTCCCCAGGACGCCGCCCTTCCAGATGATGACTGGAACCTTCAAAGCGTGTGTCGGAGCCTTCAAAGCGGGCGCCCCAAAAATAGTTACGATTGTATCTAGCTCACATAAATGAATCAAAGCTATTCTACACACCAAAGTACCCCCATTTCCTTCTCCCATTTCCTTTCCTCAGTCCCCATAACCTCCTAAAAACTTCAGACGGGCCCCAGCCCCCCGGCAGACAAACACAAAACGCAACAAACAACAACAAAATAACAACTCTTCAATTCTTGATCAAGCAGAGGAAAAGGAAATAAATGTTTGACAAAGACAACAGCGGCAAGGAGGGCGGAAGGAAAGTGGAATAAAAGGAATACGATATGGGCTGTGCATTACTGTTTCTTGATGAAAGAAAACACATTTGGATGATGACATTCACTTGTCGTTGTTAACAGGCTGCTTCACTGTTCTTTCCTGAGCGGTGAGAGCTTTTGTTAGTGTAAGGCTCCTCTCTGGAGCGTGTGCTGTTGCGAAAAGGGCTGCATTTCCATCATAATAACAACTGAAAAGAGTAAACTGTCACAAGGCACTTCCTTTTCTGGCTTTGATGCATGCCCCTCGGTCTGGCCTCGCTGTGCTGACGAATGAGCAGGAGAATACACTTCTCTCAATGCCAAAACAAAGCCTCCAAATATAGGATCACTGCTGTGACAGAGAATGTCACAGTCCCATTGCTCTTTATGTCAACTACAGTAAATATCATGGCCGCATTAGCCCAATTCTTCCTGCTGTTTGAAACAATGAGGATACAAAGACAGTGTTTTTTGATAATGCGGGTGGACCTCATCATGGATTGCGATTGTTCAGCCGGACAGCATCAATGTAGAAAACTGATGGGCTAAATTGAAATGATTAATGCACCAGAGCTTCAAGGCTTTGACAAACGTCTGTGTTAGTATGCAGACACTGGACTGGTGTTTACCAAGAATGCAAAATGTCTTCCTTTGAACAACCATGAACGAAGCTAACGGAACCCAATGGAGAGAGAAATGAACTGAGAGCTTCTGCAAAAACAAAATCCTCATAATTCAGGCTGTAATAGAATACCATGATTTCAGTTAAATAACAAGTCAGGGAAAAAGCACACTCAGCCGTGACTCATGGAGTGTTTTGACCTCCTTTTAAGTGTAATGATGTTGCGTCTGGATCTGAGGCCTGACTTTTAAACACCTCTGCATGCTTTCCCAACATCGAGTGTCCTTTTTCTGTATCCTGCATAAAAGCCGTGTTCAACAGCCATGCCTAGCTGGCAGATTCACATGGTGCTGGCCTTGATTCAATACTGGCCGCACAATGCCAGGAACTACAATGGCAGACTCACTGCAGAGCTGGACGCTATGCGATGGGAAATTGTTTGCCTCGGGAAGGCTGCTTGGCTCTTCCTGCCTTTCAGACCAGAACCTGTAATTACCTAGAATAAGGCAGGCATGGTCTAAATATGAATGTCTTGATAAATAAACCAGGGCTCTCACAGATTGTTCTATGAAAATCACTTTTAGTGGTACATGGGAGACTGAAATCATGAATAATGTGTATTTCCTGAAGCTCACTTCTCTCTCCACTGTGTTACCAATTTGATCTACAAATTCATTACTTTGAAGTTTCAAATTCAACACAGATAGTTCCCAAACTACCCCTGTTCCTACCTGAAGGGAAACGTTCGATGACCGGCTGGTTGTCCACCTGTAGCGTGGCATTACCACCACTCCGTGTGAATCGCACCACGTGGTATTTGCCGTCGCTCACCATCACTGCGCTCTCCTCGATGATTATGTCGTCTGTTCCCACGTTGAAGATCACGCCGATCTTTCCCCGTTCCTATAGACATAAGATGATGGAGAACATTATGAGGAGATTGCAAAAACAACTGGTCACAGGTGGAAAAATATATCATTTTAAATATCCCCATATGTGGTACTTAAAACTTTAACCACGTTTTTCATTTGTGCCTATCAAATAGAATTGCCTCCATAACTAACACAATTAACAATTTAATTTGCTCCATTCTTTTCTAATCTCTCGTCCCAACACCCTGGTTCAAAAGTAGCAGGTCATCAGGTCAACATTGTACTTTGTCTATCACTTTGGCTGATGACTTAATCCATGTTTGGTGCTAAATGACGAATGATAGAATGCTCACACGAAAAAGGGATTTCACCTGCTGAACACGACATTGCTAGCATTGTCATTGTGAGCATATCAGCATGCTTGCGTTTAGCTTCAAACACTGCTGTGCCTAAGTATGCAGTATAATTGAAACTTGGTACAGCATTGCAAGCATGGCTGTAGACTGTTAATGTCTTTCTTCTATGAGAACTTTTGTCGCAAGATGTTATACTAAGCCGAAACCACAATTCAGTAGGTAAATGAAACACTCTCTTACTGATACCCTGTGTTATATGTCTGACAATCAATGCCCAAAGATAACCTGTTTAGAATATCTAGCAGGCTGGCAGTGAACAATAGGGATCCTATTTAAAACAAAAAGAAGCAAATCATCATGTCTGTGTCTGTGTGATTGCATTAACGCTGAAGCAATCACATTGTGAACAGTAGTGTTACACTGCAATTCAATACAATAACACTGCAGTCATCAAGCCGTGGTAATACGCATGATAAGGTTGCTGTTTAGATTTCCCGCAGCAAAAATCTAACGATAATTTCCTTGAGTCACCAAAAAGGCCCCTCGCTAACAACAGCCAGAGGATTCTGAGGATTAGATCTCACACATGTCCGCCTGGTAAAACATCTGAGTACTTGTTGAGGACTCAGGCACCTTCAGTATTCATCAACCCGCTGACCCCCTCCCCTCTCCCATCTATTAGTGTTGACAGCCGCCCACTGCTTTGAGTTTATTACAGTCAACCACCTACTCTTCTCTCATCTCCCGCCATCTCTCTCCTCTCCCTCTGCGGTTCCTGTCCTCAGTCCCAGGAAAGGTCAAAGTCATTTACAGAGTTACTGTCTGCCAGAGAGGCATGGAACAAGGGTGGGAGAGAGAGAACCAGACAGAGTACACACCAGACAGCACCATTACAGACTAATTCTCTGTCTGGCAGTAAATCTTCTGTTGCAGTTTTATTCAGCACTGCTATAAGATCCAGAAACTGCTCCGCCGCCCATTTCCATTGACAGTAACACTTCCTGGATGTCGCTGCGGGTCAAGCTCATTTGCACACTGGGTCAAGTTTGCACCCCGCTATCTGCCAGCTGCAGCGAACAACTTCATTGATTCCATTATCTCATTAGCTATGTGCATTTATTTTGCCACCTTCTATACGGTGAACGTGAGGCTTCTGCTCGCGGCAATATTCCATTATTCATGGCAGATTAAGTATTTAAAAAAGGCAAATAAAACATCCTAATGTTAGCAGAACTTAAAAAGTTAATTGAGTAAATAAGTGCAGAGGTTGTGCAGAAAGTTAATGAGTGGTATAATCGCTGCCAAATGTATGGCATCCCAGCCACTCTTTGGAGCTGTTAAAAGAGGTTACACTTTTCAGGCAAGGCCGCAGTATGGCCATGCACTCATGACCACCCCAATTAGGTTATAAATTGAGCATGCTGAAATGGCGGCGCAAGTGCTGGGTGCCATGATTAATAGCGCCCAGATATCAGCTGAATGTGAGACACAGTTGAACAGTCGGAATACACAAGAAAATCAATGTGGAGGCAGGAAACAGACTCTCTCCTTCATGAACTAAGTTAGACCAGGATGAGTTCCTCAGCGTGGAGCTTGATGGACTGCTCAGCAGATTATCTCATTCTGCAAAGAGGCTTTGAATGTCTCAGATGGCAAAGTGCTTCCAGCTTCTTAGGCACTTAATCAATTGATTCATGTTATGGACCGGCCCTTGCTGTATTTCCGCCCACTTTCCCCACGCATGCCTAAGTCCAACGTTGACTCTCAGACATGAATATGAAGCCTGTCAGAGAGTGATTCATGAGGGGCACGTGAATTCAAATGAAATCACTGATACCTTTGAGATACCGCAAACAAAGAAGAAATATGGAGGTGAGAAATGCCAGGATCATCTCCATTAAAGCCCACGCACGAGGAAGCTTAGAATAATCATGGCACCTTTGCCTGAAGAATTAATTCAATTGACTGGTGCAAAGCAGACTGAATGCATGCTATTATGACAGAATAGCAGAAGGGAGAGTGAATTTGAGTGATATTTACAGAGAGATTAGCATTTGTGTTCCGCAACATTAGGGTTCTTCCCGGTGCTGAGGGAATGTATTGAGCCCATTACGGCGGGAAGCCGCTGGGAACCAGTGCTTTTCAAAAATGATTTTAGTACAGCGGTAATGACATTTTAATGGCCATTTCCCTTAAGCGAACATATCTCTGGAAACAGAAGGAAATAAATAATACTCTTTGAATGACTAGGAGCAGTCAAGCCTGCAACGTTGAAATGGTAGGTAACTGACAATAAGCCCTGGCTGCTCTTTAAACACCACAGCCTCTAAACTACTGCTAAGTACCTCTAAATCTGCTTCGGCTGTCGGCTAATGTCAGGAGGAACAATGTAACGCTTTTGCTCTTTTATCCAAAGGTTAGCTCATTTTCTTTCTGTGGGTCAATCAGTGGTGCAGGTAGGGGGTCCATTGTGTAATAAAGGGGAGGAGATTTTTGATGCCTGAGATAATACATTTCAATCGCCTTCATTTAAAGCTGCACGTGCTTCAGGGATAAGGACATTTTTTCGTTTTTTTTTTAACTTTAGTCAGCTGTATATTTGTTAATGTTTTATTGCATAAGAGTTAAGTTAACTTTACTAATTATTATAACTTTAAAGCACACATTGCTGTCCTTGTCAAACATATAAGATGTTGGTGCAAGAACAAAAAGATAATTCTCTCAGAGGAGAAACTGCTGATCAGCGTCTAATACAACAGGAAGTTGAGGACAGTTTCGCTGCCAACAGAAACAAAAAGTTGCCGTAATCCTCTCATTAGTCTCTCCTTGCCTTTTTTCAAAGACACAGAGAATTGGCTTTCGCAATTCTGTGCAGCCGGGAAGGAGCAGCGGCGGAATACGCAGAGACCATTTCGAAATATTTCAACATGACCTTGCAATGTGCGAGGGAGCGTCTAGGTAAATGCGGTTGACGAGAGCGGAATGGGAATGAGGCGGCGGCGCCGGAGCGAGGCTGCAGTTTCTCTATCAGGATTATCAGTCTCAGAGAGCTCTCGCTGATCACATCGAGCAGAAGAGGAAGAGGGAGCGGAGGAGCAAGGGGCAGAGAGAAACATCGTGCGATAAAAGGACAGAGGGAACCTTGATGATCCTCCAGGGCCTCAAGGTGCCGAGATCAAAGCCGCTTTTGAAGATGTCAAGATCTAGTTCTCTCTTTGCTGCGCACACTGGTAGTCAATTAAAGAGGGAGGAAAGTAGACAAAGGGGGAAGACGTTTTTGAAGGATTTGTATTCATTTCTTTACAGACAGCTCTATCGCGATTCTTCCAGCACCCCTACAGCTTCAGCTACAAACACACGTCTTCTTCTTGATCTATTTGCATTTCCTGAACGTCTCATGCGTTTCCCTCTTAGATCTGATTCACGAGCGCAAAACTGGCAGATTACAAAAGAGAAAACAACTGCTGGATGGACTGGAGGCTGTGTTCAGAAACACTCCGACAGATACAGCTGTTTGAATCCCTAGCGCTGCTTTGCATTTTGCTGCATCAACGCCTCTCATGGAAACGGTCCAGAAACGTGGCTGACCAGTTCAGGAATGTGCTGAGGCTTATGATTGAGTTTGACATATTTCAGATTAATAGGGTGTTGGAAATGCAAACTATTCCTCAGCCGCTTTCTCATTTCCCCAATAATGATCTATCATAGGCTGTATCTGCTCCAACTCGCCATACCAGTGTAAGTATGCAGAGCTGCAGTATTTATCAGCTTATGAATCAGCCAGAGGAGCCGCATGCACAGAGAAATGAGTGATACATAGATTTTACTTGATGCCCAATGAAGAGCAATCCGTTTTCTTCCCCCTCTCTTTGGACACACACACTCATCTGACACTTCTATGAGGTTTAGGGCAGCTTAATATTTCACACAGTGGTACAACGAGCAATTTATATGCCAGCTTTTAGGTTAAATTGAAGTTACAGATCATTATTGGTGGATATATTTCTATCCCAAAGGCGTTTGCTACAGATATACAGTCACACAGTATATGTGCATCTCCCTTTTGAGGGTAATTCTAGCTCTATACGGCTAATCAGCTTGTCAACATGCATAAAGCCTGCGAGAAGAGATCGGCTGTGGCATCTGCTAAGAGGAAACAGTATAGCGGGGCTAATCTTCCACTCTGAAACTGCAGCGTTATGTAAGATGAAATAGGCGGAACCTTGCATAACACGCAGACTCCTCACTGGCTAAATCACCTAACATCTTCAGAGTGTGTGTGGCGGAAAAAGACTCGGGGCTAAAAGACATTTGGGATCAGAAACACTGTTATCTAGTAATCATATTTCATGTCTTCTCTTTTTGATATTCACCCCAAATGACACAGCACATGCTCCCAAAGCTGAGACACTATGCAGGGAGGAAATGCTCGGTTTCATTCACCACACCGCTTTGTTTCTGCTCAGCCAACTCATTTATGTTTTTGTCACGATCTGTAGTAGTCACCTTGACAATGTTTCTCCCATCTCCTCATCTTAATAGTACTTTATCTCCCTTTCTCTTCCGCAGCCCTCTTTTCTGTGCAACAGTGGTCCCAGTTATTGTTTCCTGCTCTGACGGAGAATGGAATGTCATTGATAAATTGACGAGGTAGACGCGACTTGGTGTCTGTATA